TTCGGCCCATTTTTGGATTGCGATTCCCTAGATTGTTGGACAGTTTCGAGGTCATATTCACAAACCCAAGTCTCGTCACAAGTAATTATGATGCTTTTGATGTATGTAGGGTTCTCAGCTATGTTGTCAAGAATGCTGTTTTGAGACCTCTACTCGACATCGTTTTTGCAAAAGAAAAACACGATGATTTTCAAGCACTGTCTTTAATTTTTTCAAAGCTATTGTTATTTAACAGAGGTGGATTTACGACTCGCATGAGACAAGTTTTCAATGACTTCACGACTCGTTGTTCAATCTTTTGTTCATGGAAAAAATCGCCAGACAAGTTTTCGCGTCGTAAACAAACAGCTGCCAACACACACAATAATTGACATATGAAGATCAAACTTCACAACAACATTAAAAAAGGTTGTACGAATCTTAGAAATATTGTTTATCGAGTCGGTACGCACGCATATTAAATGGACCAGTCCGAGTCACAATTGATCAGCTTTTACATATATTAGGATTTTTTTTAAATTAATCAATTTAAATCGGCTTAAAATTAACTTATTTATTTTTGGAAATTGAATCCGTTATTTCGTTTCACAATTTCACACAAACTTGAAATACCTTTTTAACTAAAGTTCTTCTTCATTCCGTGGATGTCAGTGCTAAGACTCACATATGTGAGTAATGAAATTAGTATTCCAACTTCATATATGACACCTTGGCGTTAGTACCCTGATTCAAGACTCTATAAATGAGAAGTAACAATAGAGAACAAGATGACCATTAGTATAAAACCAAATTGAAAAATTACTTTAAAATAATATTGACAGTGGAAGAATCAAACAAAAAATTGTATGGTGAAGCGATAGAATGCAGGAAAATGAAACTCCGATTTTACCCGACTGAAGTAAAATATCTTCTATAGAATATCAAAAGTTTCGTTGTACGAAAACTCGTATTTAGCGATTTGCTGAAAAGTATTTTGTTGAGATTTTTTGGAGAACACCATTAGCTTGACGAGTTTAATTTGGTCATGCTTCCAATTCTTAGCGACCAGCTGAACAAAGTACTAATGAAATATTTAATTTAATGTGACATAAAAATAAGATTCTCTAGTTTTAGCTATTCTCTTTTAGGCCAACAAGGATACATCTTATATAAAACAAATTCCAATTCAAAACCATTGATGATTTTCATTCTAGTTCTGAAAGAATTGAATATTGGATTCTGCCTCTAGTAGCTGCACAAATATAATAACTTTTTATGCTGCTGAAAGCGGCTTTCAAGTAGACTAAAAAAATTTCATTCAAATTGTCAATTCAATCGAATCTTAAAAAAGCATACATTTTTGTTTGTGGTTTGAAAGAACTTTTCACAGACTTCATTATATTTCTGAGCGTCAGTGAGCTTATCCAATTACTTTACTTTCCACATTCAGACCACTTCAAACATTTCCGTTATAAGCTTATCTTAGTCTCCTACGCGCTTACACATGTCATGCCTTTTCGTTGAAAAACCGAAGCTAAATAAGACATTACAACTGCGAAGCATCTCGTATCGAAACAAAATAGTAAATATAAACGCAAGCTTGCTCGTTGTCTACAAATACTAGGCTTAACGATCAATAGCCGTGTGCACAAATGGTGCAGCAGAAGACGAAAACGAGATGAAAATTATAAATGAAAAAGAAAAAACTGGAAAGACGACTTCGAAACGGAAATGCAATTGCAACAACTCCAATCGATTTCAGGCCGACCGTTCAGAAAAAATCACTGACAACAAAGAGTGGCGGCTAAAATATTGAAGTTGAATACGTAATAACCGTATGGACTCGTTGCTGTTTCAACATTTTAACAGCGCCAGTTGTGATTGTGCAGTAAAATAATAGCCAATTAGCTATTAGTATGGTGCATATGTATTTAGGAGCAGACATATAGCCATACATCGTTACAGGAATCATTTCATAGTTGCTTACATAAGTTTATGTGAGTAGTGCTCACATATGAAGGTGAATACCTTTATATACTTCAGTCAGACGACCAATTGGCCGATTGACCCACATTTAGGCCTGTCTCATCGGCATTCGCTATCTGACTCACGCTGTAGCGGCTGGAGACTCAGAACGTGCAGAGGGCAGTGATTGCTTAGACTTACATAGGTACTTATATGACCAAATATTGTACATACTACATATATGCACATGCATGCTTAAACAATGCAAGATTTTGAACTACATATGATACAGTTATGTATACCGAGCTATTGTGATGCTCTTTCAATAATCGAATTGCAGACACAGTTGCTTTTCTATTGGAATTTAATTAACACACGCTACTGATATTTCTACTCACTCACATACACTCTTATGAATGATGGGCTGGACATACATATATACAATTAACTTTACCTGTGTGCGGTTATTAAGAGAAAAGCAAGAAATCGAAAAGCGTGCAGAAAAAAGCGACAACCGAAACGTGACTTTCGGAAAATGGGTAACGACAGATATTTATAAAATTTTCCAAGTCAAAGGAAATTCACTGAAAGAAAAACAACTGAAGCTAAAGTGGGCGCAATTGGCAAAGGCAAGCATACATAATACTGCCAGACTTACGAGGACGGTGCAATAAGTAGTTCGCCTCACCGCACGTGGGCACCACAGCAGACAGCCACTACCAAAAACTCAGTAAATCAGATTCTTAGTTTTGCTTTGACGACTATCATGATTTGGTTTAATGAGTTTCAATGTGGTAGCACACAGGCGACCAGAAGACGGCTACCAAGGAGGATTACGTCACAAAAGTTACGATCTTCTTACTGGCAGATCGCCGATATAAAGTGCGAGAGTTATCTGAAGCAGTGGGTTTTCTGCATGATATATTGAGCATAAGAAAAGTTGTCGTCGTGATGAGTGCCGCATTTGATCTCTCCGTACAGCAGGCGCAGCTCTGAAGCTAATTCGCAATTTGAAAGAGGTCGTTTCGAAGCGAATGCTAACGGCCAATGAAGTGACGAGCATGGTTGTCTGGGGTCACAAGGTATATTCTACAATAATACATATGTATCGACATCGAATTGCAGAAAAAACGGTCCCATTTGGGAAAGAGAAAAGTGTTCCTCCGCCATCAAAACCCATCGACTCACGCCTCCGCTGTCGCCATGACCAAAGATAAAATAAACTGCTGCCCTATCCACACTATTATCCAGATTTGGCTCTGTACGACTTCTTCTTGTTTGAAAAATTTACTCACTGGATAGAAATTTAAGTCGAATGAGGTGGTTAAGTGGTGGTCCAGTGTATGGAGCTAAAAGGGGACTATGTGAGAAAATAATCGCCATTTTTTACAAATTTTTCATTTTTCTTTTGAAGGCGAAATATTTATTGAACCGCCCTTGTACATATCTAATATTATATAAAAAACGAAATGTGACCATCATTAATGGTTTTCCTTAATCTGTTTAAATTTCAGAAAACTAAATATTAAAGTGTGTTTTGCGACTTTTTTGCGTTTCATATGATAAATATGTATTTATACTTTCTAAGTAAAATGTAAATAGGCCTAGTTGTGATTGACAGGTGCCGACATCAAATGTTTCCGCTGGCATTCAGACCATTTAACAACTTGTCAAGAGATTTCAAGCATCTGTTGATTTACATGTGTTGATTTTGACAAAATACACAGTGATTGAAGAAGATTTTGAACCGCCAATGATTTTGAAACTTATTTAAAGTGTAAACTATGTTAATTTGTAAAATTCGACAGCACACTTTGGTGCAAACAATAAAACTACAATATTAAGGCGAAATATATACAAATATAGTTAAAATATAAAATCTGTTAAATCTGCCATTGAAAATTAGCATTTCTTCGCTTTTAGATAGCAGTCCAAGGTATCAAATTATGATGAAGTAACCTTCAGGTTGGCATCTCAACATATTGAACACGTTCAGAGATGGAGTATTCGCGTTATTCCATTAGACATGATCTAGTTCTAGTTAGTATCTGATTTCTTTAGATGCATCTTGGGGGTTTATGTTTCTGACAATATATTATAGATTTTATTCCGTAGTTCAGAATTAATCGCCATCTCTATTTGCAACAAAATATGCTTCTCGTATAAGGTGTTCAAAAAGATGGGGAAATTGCGCTTAAAAATCGTGATAGGATTGAAAAGATAAGAAAGGCTTTAAACATCCCCAATTGATTGATTCAATACAGTTTGTTTGCTCATTTTTTTAAATAACCATATCGGTTCCAAGAGTTGCTTCTAGATTTAATGCCCTGTAATATTTTCTTCTTCCCAAAACTCAAGTTACCTTTTTGAAGTATATATATTGAGGAGATCAAGGACATAGAGAGAATCCTTCAATCAGGTTATTTTAACAGTAAAGGTTAGATTTTAATATACATATATATTTCAATGAAAGCAATTGACTTTAATTTTCTTTAAGGGGCACACCTACTCTGAGTTGTTTGAAATTTTCAAAATGTATTCATACATCTTTCAAGAATACAAGTGAAATTTTTTAACAAAAAGAGTTAAATAATTTTTGAACTATACGAGATCTCTGACCGCGCTAAAAAAAGGCACCTCTGCAGTGATTCTGGCCTTCTCAGTGGATAAAACCTAAAAACCCGTTAAACTAGAAGATATTCTCTGTACAATGATCTACGATCAAAACAAACAAGAATCAAAAATTGACAAAATGGCGGCGTTTTTAAAAAAAAGTTGAATTTTACCACAAATTTTGGTCGTTTTGGGCCTGCCAAAATTCGATTTTTGATCAGAGCAAAAACCGATAGTTCATTGTATGAGAATTATATAAAGAACTGGCAGAAAAAAATTTCATGATGATCGGATCATTTGTCTTCCAGTTAACACTGCAGCAACTTTTGAGAAAAACTAATTTCACACTAGGTGTGTCCCATAAATATTAAATATTTTCTAAAGAAAGACAAGCACCACAAGCTTTCCTTTTGACATTTGTCATCTTCCTTTTCTCTCCTTAGCGCCATAGAAGTATATCAGCAAACCGGACAGACCCTAACAGTTAAGTTACAGGCGCAACGGCAACAACCAGGCGGCAATCGGCTGGGTGGTCCACTACGTTATCCTCATACTATATTGTTTTGGCTGCGTTGTAAACAGGTACGTAGAAAAATTTAATTAATTGTGTGTTTTAATCCATTCTACTGCAATTAAATATAACCAAAAGTAATAATGAACTCAAACAATCCCTTGATATTATAAAAACATGGCAGATTCATGAAAACTAAAAACTATATTGCAGTCACTACTGCTTCCACAAATGTGGCGATTATTTCGAAAGTGGGAAACAAAAATTAAATGAATGCATTATATGTGCAATAAATGTTTTAAAATAGCAATTGGGTTGACAAATCTCAGATGTATGCGCCTTTGTACCGGCTGCAGATATAACATTGCTGTTGAATGATGTGTTAGTTGTTCGTCTGGACGCCGGTGTGCTTGCTCTAAATCGTCCACAAGCAAATGCTTAGCATATTTCATTCACCTTCTGGCTATGGGAATGTCACTTAAATTTCCATTGTTGGTATTATGGAAGAGGCGTAGTCAAAAATGGTATTTTTAGGGGTTTGAATTGCCTTCCATAATGTTAGCAAAATTAATTAAATAAAATAATGCCAAAACTTTTCACAATTGGCTCATATTGCACGTTTTAATAGTAGGTTGCCTTCTCAAAAGCATTACCTCAGATAAATTCAATTCTAAGAAAAACATCTTTAATGCATTGCGACTTTAAGTGGGCTGTTATTTGCCAATATTTGGAATTTCGGTTTTTGGTTAACTTTTGGAGAAAACAACTTAACGTTCAGAATTGATCGTAATAGCTTGAGCGATAATAATCTCAAACCGAAGACAATTAACTCGAAGTACTTAGAAATCATTCCGGATAACTGTAAGATCATATAATGTAATCAGAACAATACGTATAGCACTAATATAGCAGGATAGTTTATCTGTTCATTCTCTGATTCTTCCTGAGATTAAACGATTAAGGATAAGGACTTGTATAAAAGGCATGTTTTCTGTTTAGTGCTTACAAAAGTTTGATATTGGGAACAAAGTAGTTACGCCTAATTAGTGATTCAAGTTACCGAGTGATTGTAAGGCATTCGCCTACTATGTAAGATTGACAAATGGGTCATTCGTCGTTAAAGTATAGTTCTCCCCTTCAAAGCTGCTTGATTTAATTTTAGCGACGTCACGTTGAAATGATTACAAAAATATAAATATGAAAATAAGTATGTAATATAAGTATGATAACTATAATATTTTGCTAATAAAATACTAATTAACAGAAGAAAGGCAAGAAAACACCAATAACGTATAGTTGCCAAAAATTAAGTAATTGTCTGATATTTTAGTTTCATTTCATTTCGTTATATTTCATTTTTTTTATATTTTCAAATGTATGAATATATGCTACTTAAAATACATAGATTTGTAATAAGATTTTTCAATATATCCGATACTATGTATGGTTTGTAATAAGAACAAAGTAAAAAACTTATTTGTAAGAAGTTAATACTGTTATCTGCAATATACTCTAGTTTCTACTTCATAATACTTATATATGTAAACTGAATAGGGTATATTAGTTGCCACGAAGTTTGTAACACCCCAAAGGAAAAGTCGGAGACCCTATAATATATATATGATCAGCATGATGAACTGAGTCGATTTAGCTAGGTCCGTCTGTCTGTTTGAATATACGCACACTAGCCTCTTAGTTTTTGAGATATCGAAGTGAAATTTTGCAGGCGTTCTTTATTCCCAAAGAAGCTGCTCATTTATTAGAACCACCGATATCGGAGCACTTTAGCAAATAGCTGCCATACAAACTAAACGATCGGAATTAAGTTTTTGTATAGAAAACGTTTGCATTTGACAAGATATATTTAACAAATTTGGCATGGGGTATTAGCCAAAGCAACGATGCAATCTCCGAAGGAATTGTTCAGATCGGATCATAATAGCATACAGCTCCCATATAAATTAACCGATCAAAATCAAGTTTCTGTAATGAATACTTAGTATTTCTGAAAGATTGCAAAACTAACATGAAATATGACAAAAAATTATACTTTTTAATTTTTCAATTACTTGGAGAAGATAGTCTTGACATGTAAGTTGGAAGTCGGCATAATGATTATAGCCACTATCTGGAAATAATTCAAAACATATTGTATAAACGTACAATAATAAAGTAATTATGGAAGCATATGAAATAAAGACTTAATCAGCACCCTCCATTAAAAAGTGTGCGCCGCCGGAAGATACTATGTGATGTTGCATTTTGCTTTGCTGCAACTGTCTATCTTTTATATACCATAGACGCTATCGTTGTGTGTGGAAGGAGACACTTTTGTCACCTTTACAGCATTCTATTTATGTTCGTTGAAGTGTTGAGCTGACGCTTCTTCACAATTATAAATTTTATGCGACATGTAGCAAACCATGTTGTTGTATTGTTCCCCCATTTTCTTGATTTTTTTTTAATTTTAGTCAAATTTTCCATCACCAAAATAGCATTAGTTCTAATTTTCTCGATATTTTGTAGTAAGCTAACGGCGCTTGCATACTCCTGCACAAGTCTTTCGATTTATGATAAAGAAATAAACAAAGCGGATAAATAAAATGTCAGGAGTTGAGAACCAAAAATAATTAGAAAAGAGACAATTCTGAAAAATTCCTGTTCGTTTTAAGTATCTTCGGGGATAGGCAGACAACAGCTGATTGCTGATGGTGCAGTGTCAGCCTGATGCAACACACAAACCAACTGCGGGAACAAGCACTGCAACCGATGCCCACATCAGCTGATACATCTATTTAAAATTTCCAATAGCTGCCGTTTTAATTTTAATTTTTTTCCAATCTCTGGCGTACGTTTTGTCACTCATATATACAATATATGTATATATATACGAGTATATACCATGAAATGCATTTTTGTCTAAGTCGTTTCTATTTCGAATGCTTATTCCACCACCTTTAAATTATCGAAATTTATGCATTTCATCTTTATCCATCTGTATAATTTTTGCTTGAATGAACTTAAAGGTGAAATTAAATTAAACAGTGAACATTTAAAAATTGTAACTTAATTGTATTAAATACATTTCCTTAATGAACTTTGATTTTATGAAATCATAAGCAAAGTTTAAATACTTGATATTCAGAAACATGTTGAAGAATCCTATGGTTCTTCCACTGTTCGTTACTAGAAGATAAAAGCTCTAACGAAATATTGCTTTAAATTAGCTTCTCAATGACATAGTCCACTCTGAATTGTTCACTCAAGATATATTTCAAACCACTTACGATGATTTATACATCGGTCGGACTTGTTATTTTCAACTATGTAATAAATTTTTAGAATTTTTTTTGCAGCATTTAAATGTATGCTATGTTATTTATTAGGTATTTACCGTTTTTTGGCCAAAGCGAGACACTGCCGTATATATCTTGTACGAGAGCATACAGTGATTGGTGGGCCGTGCCTAGTAGAGACAAAGGTACAATATTACTTATTAATTTTTGATAGGCAATAATAAAAATTCATTAATGTTTTCGTCTATTGTTGACGTGCTCTAGTGTCCGGCACGTTCTTTATCGTTCACATCTTCTCAACCCTCTGAGAATATTTTGTACCACCGATAAACGTTGCCTTTGTCCAAGGTAGATTCAACATATGCCACAATCAACATTCGGAATGCGTCCGCACTTTTACCATAAATTTATTTTTCACACAAAATTTTATAAAAATTGTTTGATCCATTTTTTTTAGAATAAGCAAAATTCGAAGACGAACCAAAACACGACCAAGCAAAACAGCTGTCAAAAATTAACTAAATCTTCAAAATGGTCGACCTTGTGAGCAAGTAAGGGATATATAACGCAACAAAACGATCGAAAATCAAATACACGTAGCCATGCGAAAATTCAAAATTTGCGATACTTTTTGAACAAACCTCGTATGTACAGGTTATTTTCTTCATTTGTATTACAAAAATTCAGTAAAATCTGCTTTACAGAAAGCGCTTTTTCAGGTTTAGGTAATGCCATGATGCATTGGCTGTAATACTGATCTCATGTTGGAAGAGAAATAAGCGAGCTCTATATACATATTTTAATTTGTCTTTGATCTTCTTATTTAACAACGAAAAATAAAATGTCTCTGTTTTGAGTACTGAACCTTTTGCTCAGGTTTCAACAATTAAAAAAATTACACTTAGCATTCTTAGATATTTATTATATACTCTATGTATGTATGTATGTATTATATACAATGTTAAGTATTTAAATACATTTTACATGTTGCTGACATTGTGTTGCTTTACAGAGTTTTATATGTATGTATATATGTACGAGCAAGCATATACGAGTACTATGTATGTCAGTTACGGCGAATTTCCACCTCTTTATACACGCACACTCACAAATCTACAATAATCAGTGCATTTTACGCATAACAACAACATTTGCAGCTTAGCGGCACACATCTGTGTACATAAGTCACTTCACACGTCCGTACATTTTGTTGGCCTCACGTCTTTAAGATGCCACCAACGTTCTTTGCCAATTCTTTTCGCAATTTTTTACGCAAATTTATGGTATTCAAATCTTCCTTGCGTCTCTACCGGATTATCGGTTAACCCCTTATGCGATTATAATTCTTCATTGCCCTCCGCCACCGCACCGCTATACCGCTGTACCCTCCCTCTTTACATTTTATCGCTGCAATCGTGTTGTGTCACGCATACACCCATACAAAGTTAAAGCTTTAAAGCCGATTCTTTGAGCTCACGATGGAAAAGAACCTGTAAAACTCCTTTCACTTTACATTCCTATCCATTCGACATTCTTCTTCAATTACGACTCGCATTCTAACGCGCCCCGCTGGCCGCACGCAATCTACCGTTCACTTGTTCCTATTCCAATCTTTCACTTCCAGCTGTTGGGCGCATTGGGTTTACATTTGTGTGTGTGTGTATGTGTGTATGTGCGTCGTCACTCAGCGAAATTGTTTGTTCTGGCATCGTAAAAGCGCCTACTCGGAGTAATTTTGGCCAAAAGCCAAATGAGTCGTAAACCACTGTTCAAGC